GACAACAATGCCAAGGCCACCATTCTATGGGACAATGCTTTTTCTGAGATTGTAAGTGTCATTGTGGCTGCACATATTCTAAAAGATCTTTCCCATTTTTCTTTACTATTTCCTTTGCTTTAACCTTTTTTTGTGTAACCCTAAATGTTCACAGTAATACAGTAGGGATTGCGTATAAATCCAGTTTTCACTCACAGAGTTCTGAGATTACATACATTATATTGCCAAAAGTATTGGGCCAGCCCTTCAAATCATTGGATTCAGGTGTTCCAATCACTTTTATGGCCACAGGTGTATAAAATCATCACCTAGGCATGCAGACTGCTTCTACAAACATTTGTGAAAGAATGGGTTGCTCTCAGTGAATTCAAGCGTGGTACTGTGATAGGTTGCCACCTGTGCAAAAAGTCCATCTGAGAAATTTCCTTGCTACTAAATATTCCACAGACAACTGTTAGTGGTATTATAAGTGGAAGCAGCTGGGAACAAAAGCAACTCAGCCACAAAGTGGTAGGCCATGTAAAATGACAGAGTGGGGTCAGCGCATGCTGAAGCGCACAGTGCACAGAAGTCACCAACTGTCTGCAGAGTCAATAGCTCTTTGTGTGACCTTCAGTTTAGCACAACAACAGTGTGTAGAGAGCTTCATGGAATGGGTTTTCCATGGCCAAGCAGCTGCATCCAAGCCTTACATCACCAAGTGCAATGCAAAGCATCGGATGCAGTGCAGTGTGTAAAGCATGCCGCCACTGGACTCTAGAGCAGTGGAGACGTGTTCTCTGGAGTGACGAATCATGCTTCTCTGTGTGGCTACCCGATGGATGAGTCTGGGTTTGGCAGTTGCCAGGAGAACAGTACTTACTTGACTGAATTGTCTCAAGTGTAAAGTTTGGTGGAGGGGGGATTATGGTGTGGGGTTGTTTTTCAGGGGTTGGGCTTGGCCTCTTAGTTCCAGTGAAGGGAAAAGTTAAGATGTCAACATAACAGGTATTTTGGACAATTTCATGCTCCCAACTTTGTGGGAACAGTTTGGGGATGGCCTCAAACCGATAGAACACCTTTGGGATGAATTAGAGAGGAGACTGTGAGCCAGGCCTTGTCAGCCGCATCAGTGCCTGACCTCACAAAATGCTCTTCTGGAAGAATGGTCAAACATTCCCATAGACACACTCCTAAACCTTATGGACAGCCTTCTCAGTAGAATTGAAGCTGTTATAGCTGCAAAGGGTGGGCCAACTCAATATTGAATCCTATGGACTAAGACTGGGATGCCATTAAAATTCATGTGCGTGTAAAGGCAGGCGTTCCAATACTGTGGGCAATATAGTGTATCCTTGACCGCCCTTAAGCCCTGTACATACGATGAAAATATCGGGCGAATGATCATCATTTTGTTTTTTTGCATGCTAGTCTCATATCGAAGGTGGAGAGATTACTAAAACTTACAAAAATGTTTTTATGACAGAATAAAAATTTGGAAGTGATGTATTGTATATGCATTGTATTTTCGGACAAAACTTTACTGATGAAACAAAAATCATACAATCTGGTATCATACAAGAAAAATTTTCATGCTTGTCCCTTCAAATAACTTCAGACGAAAGCTGTGTACTAACGATCAGGTTATCGTATGATCGCCTCCAAAGCAGTTTTTTTTTAACAATTTTCTGATCATGTGTACTAGGCGTTAGACAGGCAAATCTTGCAGGCATTTACAATTTCTACCTAAAGATATCACTGAGAGCTGCTACTCAAACAAAGACAGTAAAATCATTATTTACACATCTGTCATTGAGATTTTTTATCATGTTGTAAGGTTCCTTTAACTAATCTTGGGCACAGGATCCCTGACGCTGTGTACTCTTCTGCTGCTACAAGAAATCAGTCAGATTGATTGCATTGCTTCCATACAGTAGCTTTGTACCAGGTTGACTCTTAGCTATCCAAAACATCAGAGCTTTAATATGAGTCCTTTAACTGCAAGATGAATTACAGCCCTAAAGGAAATACAATTTTCCTTCTTTGGTAGAAATTGCCACACCCCATAATGCCTTATAATGAATAATTAATTGAATTGGATTATGACAGATAATTGCATTTAGGGAAATATGAACTATGGTATATCAGTTCTTGTTAACATCACTTGCATAACGGGAGGAATAAAACGTATCCATAATTACAGACTGCAATTATTATTCTAAATTATTATTATTATTATAAATTATTATTATTCTTATTATAAAAACCAAGAGCTTCCCACTAGAATGACCAAAGCACATTACATTATATTAATAAACAACTACAATCCTTTGAGGCATATTTATAAAGCAGTGAATGTGACATTCAGCAAATATTCACTGCAGGTAAATTGATCATTGTAAATTAAAAAACACATGCACCAGGATAATTTACCTGAACTGAATGTTTGGTGAATGTCACATTCACAGCAATTTGGGTGTATATATATATATATATATATATATTAATACGAAAAACGTACTTTTGGTGATGTCACTGTGTATGAATGTAGGAAATTTAAACTGAGCACGTTGTTGTGCAGTGTGTTAGAAAAAAGGTGCAGGTACAATTTTTTTGCATTCAAATAGGCTATTTTAAAGTGACTTTGTCGTGAGAAAAGTATGGGTTACCATTGCTAGATCTCTTTTAAAGATGCTAGTTGTTTGCCTATGTCTGGCTTCAATGCTTTTGAACCACAGACCCACAGTAAGCATGTTATGTATAACTGAGAGTCAGAAAAATGTCAATTCCCTATCTCTATGCTTGTTCTACATCAGGAACTTAGAAAGTATTTAAGTATCTGCATGACATCGAGGAAACTAGTATGCTTAAAGGGGAAGCTAATAATGGCAGGCCTCATAATTTTGCAAATGCAAATTAATTCACAAAATATCACATGTTGAGATTTGTATGATAATTCACCTCAGAAAAATGTGAAGGTGTCTTTAAACAATATTCTGCTACTTCTCTACTTACATCTTCAATAACTCATGTCAACTAGGGAAGACGCCCCTTTTATGTGGACGAGAAAGTGCCATGGAAGATGATGTGTAAGACTCTGAATATGAAATTTATGGCTGAGGTGGGGACAAAGCAGGAACTGACCCCTGTGCATTACCGCTTTCTTGCTCAGAAGATCTTTGGTGACAATGGTACTTATGATGATGTTAAAGACCGTATGGTGTCCTGGACTCAGTTTAACAAGGTAATGACTGAAGTGTCTATGTCATCTTCCTTTTTATGGCAATATTTTTTTCAATAAAAGATGATGTACTGAAATGAATACCAATGAGTGAAGGATGAGCTGTTAAGTGGCATGGTATAGATAACCTGCACTGGTATTGTCAACACAAGGCATTAGAGTTTCCAAATACAAAGGATTGTCTCCCATCCGAGTTCATATATATGGTTCAAGCATACTTGTGGAATGGTCATACCCTGAAAAGTGGACATTGGATGAAACCGAAAGTTCACAGAGGAGTCGGGAACTTCCAAACCAAGACAATCTATATGTAAATGTTGCTTTGCGCTTTGGCCTAGGAGAAGTTATCATATCTGGTGGCCAATATGGATATGAGAAGGGTGACCACAGCAGGAACCTGCAAGCTATGTTGCAAGTTTCCCCTTGTGTTGGACTAACTGGAATTAAAGTAGACATGTGTTTGGCCACAGCTGGTTTTCAAGGTTTTGAATTTCCCACAAGCAGTGCCATCTTGATGGCATCATGGGCCCCTGGACAAAGTAATGCAGTGGGGCACTTAGCCTGCATAAGGTGCAACAATGCAGTGCCCCCATATATTAAGTTTTCCTATCACAGTGTCTCCATACATCAGGTGTCCCCATACATCAGGTGTCCCCTTACACCAGGTGTCCCCATCACATTGTAGCCATCTATCACAGTGCTCACATACATCAGGATCCCACATCAGTGTCCTCATCCATCACAGCCAACACAGCGCTCGGGTCCTCCTCTTGTCCTGGCCATGATCATGGGGCCTCCATGCACCTGGGGCCCCCAGGAAGTGCCCAGGTGTGCCCATGCATTAAGATGGCCAAGGCCACAAGAAGAGGATTGTGTTTAAACCTTGTAATGTCCAAATCACACCTAAAATATAATGCCCTTTTGTACAGACTCCTCCCTTTTGCATCATACAATCATTTTAGTAGAAACTATTGCTAAAATGTGTTATTCAAAAAAAATGCTGTCTGCTTTCAGTTTACATTTGCTTTTGATCTACACACACCAACATACAAAAGAGATATGGTTATATTTTTGTTGAGCTATCATAAGTCTTTCCACATTATTCCACATAAACCCCTTCCTACTTATAGTTAATAGGTCCATTTGGCTACATAGAAAACGCTTTGCATGCATTTCTGATGATGAAAAAAAGGCTCTGGACATGGAACAGTTAAAAAAATGCTTAAAAATGTTACAATCCTGAGAGGGAGATATATACATATATATATATATGCGCATTACGGTTGCACATCTAGTGAGTGCGTATTCCTAACATATCTCACGGCACACCACCTGGATTATACAGAGCACCTACCTGAGATCTTTTTTAGATGGATATTCACATTTAAGCACTTTACTGGACTAATATAAGGACTATCAAGTGCTCACTTCATATCACCTGCTACACCCCTCAGCATTGTTATTTGCACCTTTGTCACTTTAATTTTCACGCTAATGTGATTTGTGCAATTCTTCCAGTATTTTATATGCATATTTGATTTATTTATTCGCTGTTTAGCGCAGCACCTTACTGCATTTTGATACAATTTTCAGGAACCTCTACGGGAAAGAAACTTTACATTTTGGCAGTGGTTTGATGGCGTTGTGGACCTCACAAAAAAGCATTTAAAAGATTACTGGTCAGATGGGTGAGTTTAAGGTCAGACGTACATGGACAATATGTAATAGCACCACTAGATCTGTTGCTAAACCAATTGAACAAATGGCTCATTTTGGTATAAACTACACAAGTAGCACAAGTAGCATGTAGTAGTGTGTAGAAGTAATCAATGGCACAAGGATGGAACACTAAAAAAAAAAAAAGGAATGTACATTTAAGGATTTGTAAGCTGCTATACTGTATATTACATTTTTGCTTTTGGTCTTAAAACCATTTTAATCTCACATGACTGCAAGGGGAAAATTACTAAAACTGGTGAACACACAATCTGGTGTAGCTGTGCATTGGTAGCCAATCGGCTTCTAACTTCAATTTGTTCAATTAGACTTTGACAACAAAACCTTAAATCTGATTGGTTACTATGCACAGCTGCACCAGATGCTGTGTGCACCAGTTGTAGTAAATCTCCATGTGAGAATAAAGAGGTTTTAAGACCAAACCAAAAAATGTAATATACAGCAGACCTCAAACTTTGCACATGCCTGCTCGCATTGGGCAAGTGGAAATAATGTGGGGACAAGCAAGCATGCACTGGCCATTTGCAGAAATCGATCAGACAGCGGCAGTCGATGGACATGGAGCAGGGAGCTAGCGCCGGGGGCAGACTAACCATTCAGGCACACAGACACTGCCCAGGGTCTGTAGGGGGCCCTGGCTCCTGGAAGGATGGGTAGGAGCACAGTGTGTATTGTGCAAGCAGGCTCCATGTCTGATCAGGTGAGAAGAGAGAGAAAGACACTGACAGAGCGTGAGGAAGAGGACACTTCTTGGACCGAAAGGAGAGGATGTAACAGTGGGAGGAGGGGGGGGGAGAGCTGAGCTGTCTCTGCCTACAGAGCTGAGAACCGGAGTGTGACAGGCTGAGAGAGCCTGAGGGGAGACCTGTGTGTCTGTGTGTGCATGTGTGTCTGTGTGTGCACGCATATGTGTCTGTCTGTGTGTGCATGTGTGTGTGTCTATGTGTGCATGTGTGTGTGTCTGTGTGTGCGCTCATGTCTGTCTATCTGTGTGTGTGTGTGCATGTGTGTGTCTATGTGTGCATGTGTGTGTGTGCTTGCATGTATGTCTGTCTGTGAGTGTGTGTGCACGCATGTGTGTCTGTCTGTGTGTGTGTGTCTGTGTGCATGTGTGTGTGACTGTGTGTGGTGGGGGGGTGGGGGGGCTCTATATTCACTTTATGTAGTCGGGGGCCTTGTGTGTGTTTCTGGGGAGGGGGGGGCTCATTGTGCCATAATGGAGACCATGTGTTCTAAGAGACGGGTTGTGTGCTCATTATAACCTCATATTATGGGGGGTCGGGGCCGTAATTGTGAGTAGCAGACATACTGACACCCCCCACCTTTCTCTTCCCACTCACCGCCTTCTTTTTTTTCTATCACCCCCCTCTCTCTTGCTCCCTTTCTCTCGCCCCCCCCTTCTCTCTCTCTCACCCCCCAACTCCCCTCTCTTTGGCTGGAGGGTGAAAAGGGGGGTAGAGGACATGACTATAAGGGGGAAGGGAGTGTGAAGGTGGGTATATATTTATCTTTGTAACTTTATTCTGCATAAAACTTTTAACAGTGTAATTTAATTAGATATTTTATGAGGGCGTGTTTAGGGGCGGTATTAGGGGTGGGGCAGGGTAGGGATTGGGTGGGGTAACTGGTGGCAAGTAGCTCTTAAGGTCTGGCTAGTAGCTCAGAACTTTAAATTTGGAGCCCTGATATACAGTATAGCAGCTTACAAAGCCTTAAATGTGCACTCATTTTCTTTTTTAGGCTTGTTTTCCCTTTATTTTCACCTGGTGACCCGGCCAGAAACACACTTCCTGTCTTAGGGTGTCCCCACTCTGGATGTAGGCAAAAGGGAGACACCTTTGGACAACAGCATTGTCAATCTGGGGAGATGAAAGTAAGCAGTTGCAGCAACAATAATTTTTGTTTTGGGATAATGGTTTTCCATAAATACATAAAAGCTGACCATTGTAAAGCCCCCTATCAGTGTTAAATGGTTTGTCTCAATCCTCTAACTGCTACTTTTGCTGGACAGCTTGGTCTGTAAGGAAGTTGAAAAATACCAAATATGCTGACTGGACCACCAGATGAAAGTAAAGAAAAAAAAGCCTAAAAAAAAGAAAACAAATGCAGCCAATACATCAAAGAACGGTAAGCTGCAATATAGTCATTTTTGTTTTGGGGTTTAACCTCCCTGGCGTATGATTATTTCAGATTTTTGGTGCTGAAAGCGGTACCATTTTTTTGCATGGAAATATGTATTTTTTTATTGTAGGCTGTAATTTTTAGGAAAAACTCACTGAAATCTGTCCGAACAAGAGTCTAGTAAACATCCCGGGTATGATAAAATTTGAAACACAAAATCATAAATTATAATTTAATAAATAATCATAAAAATAATATAAAAATAATAAAAAATTTAATTCAATAATATAATCAAACCAAAAACACTGAAATGTGAAATAGAGCGCCAAGTTCGCACATTGCTGAGCTCAGTCGCAAAATCGTTTTCAGTTTCTGATGACGAATTTCCCCCACGAATCATTATCACTCAATTCTGAAAGTGGTTCTAATTTACTATCGCTGTTCTCTAGCGGTCTAAACCGCTTTTGACCTAAAGGGACACTTTTTGGACGCCATGGACATTTCTCAGTTTCCAGGCAGAAAGAACAGACAAAATGCAGGCAGGGCGCAGGACAAAGCACTAGGGACAAAATGTAAAGGTTGAAACAGCAATGTTTTACTGTGTAAAATGTAAAAAAAAAAAAATGACATTTTTTAAAAAAAGGCTTTTTTAAATTTCCCGCCGGCGGCGGCGCCCGTACGTCCCGACGTCACAGGGACAGGACACAGAAGCCGGATGCCGGCATCGGCCGGAGGAGATGGCCGGGGACGCTGCAGGGGACACATCGTGGGAGCGCAGGTAAGGTAAGTGAAGAACACTTGCCGGAGCAGTGCCGCAGGGTAAGCCCGAGTGTAGCTCGGGGTTACCGCTTTTGGTACTGAAATGTTACCCCGAGCTACACTCGGGAATACCGTCAGGGAGGTTAATACTGCTGTAGGTCAGTACTACATTAATATTATACAGTATTTATAAAGTGCCAACAGTTCGCTCAGCGCTGTACATTACAATGGGGGACAATACATGAGACAGTACAATAACAATACAATGCGATACACGAGGGGTTCGAGGGCCCTGCTCCTTGGAGCTTACATATGTAAAAAAAAAGGCTGCTGCCCTTTTTAGATGCCCTCTTCTGATAACTACAGTACTGAAAAATCCTTTATTCAGTGTGTTTATGGGATGGGAGGGGGGTTGTCATAACTATCCGTGTTTGTAGTATGATGGCAGACCTCATCACTTGTAAACTATATTTAAACATTGTGTCCAAACAAAGGGTTAATTATGTTAAATGAGAAGAAGCTCAGTTTGCGCTAAAACCATGAATCGAAATTTGACTGGTTCAAATCGGTGTATGGGCAGGCTGGTTGTACACAAGTCCTTCTGTAGATCAAAATATGTACAAGCCTGTTCTTTTTTCTGAATGATCGGTGCCACCAGCTATAGCCAGCAACGCTGATCATTGTATTCTGATGGCTGTGAAGGCTCCCCACTGTCAGCCACCTTGAGTGCGTGGATGGGGGGGGTATTGGATTTTTTTCTTGTGCAACCTGCTGTGTAGGGAGGGGGGGAGAAACACGCATAATGTATGGGCTACCTAAGCCTTTCTATTGGAAAAGGCTCACCCTGAAATTGGTAAGCTGTGTGAATGGAAACAAATTGCTGCAATGATCAACCAGCAACAAACAGCAGCACCCTGTAGGAACATGCTAAGAGGTATGCTGCACAGCAACTACAAGTGCTGCAGTAGAAATCTGTTCAGGGTGGTGCCTACACAAATTTGGGTCTTTATTTTGCTGTCAAATGTCAACTTGTTACCATGTAGCAAAAAGTTAAAGTGGGGGGGGGGGTTGGTGAAGGGATGCTACAAAAAAGTCAAAACTTTACACTAAAAGTACAGTGCTGCTGTTAAAAAGGTTTCTAAAACACAAACACAGTAATGGAATTACATTATCTTTTAATAAGCTTTGAAACTTCTTAGGAGACCAGCTTATGTGGGTACATTCCATTTGACAGTGAAAATTGGGAGCGCGGGTATCCACAAAGTTGGGGCTCTTTCTTGACAAGAGGGAGGAGCTGTGAGTCCACAAACTTTTGATCTGCTTTGCGCTGCTGTGTCAATGCATATTTTTTTCTTCTTAGTGTCAAAAATCTCTCCCTCCTACACGCTACATGCTACTTAAGTGGCTTTCACAGTAGGAAGGTATTTCTTTCATCTGCGTAGTTACATTAGCGATTATTTCCAGCTCTTTTAGTTACAATATTGAGCTAATAAAGACTCCACCTGACCAATTGGCCTATTTACTGTAGGTCAATGGGACCATGCTGCAATCACAAGCCAGCCGCTTGGCTTTTGGTGGCTCACCTATATTCAAAAGCAAAATCCTGCTTGGGATTAATGTCTGGCAGCCAGTGCTCTACCATCCTCTGTAAAGTGATTGCTTTTCAGAGCGTGATAGGGACTGCAGCACATGGGTAAGAGTTGGAAGAAAATGCTGAAAAAATGGCACTTGTATTTTTTTTTTAGCTTGCAAAGTTTTTTAGAAAAAGGAGTGTTATTTTTTTCCCTTCTGTATTTATTAATAGTCTCCCACCTGCACTACCTCACTTATGGCCACCTCCTTATCGAAATTGCCCTTCACTTCATGTCCTGCTGATAAATGAGAAGACAAGAAGTGAGGGAAAGTCTCCAAAAGCAATCCAAACTGAAACAGTAGAGTAGGGGAAGGGTAGAACCCATCAGAATTTTTATTTCTGTGTATGTCCCTGTTACAACTTGTCCCTCATTTTCCATCTGGTGAAACTGTTGTCAGCAGGGCAAGAAGTAAAGGTAACTCTCAGTAATGGAGCCACAGATAGCAGTGAAAAAAAACTGAATAGGATTTCTGTTCGTTTGCTTCGCTATCCACATAAAGAAACATTGTTGGGTTGATATACACTTTATACAGGTGCTCTCTAGCAGCCTTACTTCTATGTTATCCAATGTACAGCTCAATTAATTATGCTTTTGTGACCCTTCTTTTGTCTAGATTAATAATGGGATTTGTCAGCAAGCAATATGTGCACACTATTTTGGGCAAGGAACACAATGGTACCTTCCTGCTGCGATTTAGTGACTCGGAGATTGGGGGCATCACAATTGCACACATTGTTCGTGGAGATGATGGTAAATAAAAGCAGAATTATTTATATATAATTATATTAAATATAAATCATATATATGTATATATATATATATATATATATATATATATATATATATATATATAACTGTAGTCACTAGTGTGACATTGGCTTTAAGTGAAACAGTTATCACCTCTTAACTGGCCTGACTACAATAAACCTAACACTGCTTGGTTGCTATGAAGTCCGTATGGCCACAGAAAGACTTTGCACACATTTTATCTTGATGCACCCGGGATGTATTTAGCCAACTTAAACTGAACGCTCAGTTCAGCTTTACACTGTCAAGTATTATTGTTTAATAGAGGTACCTCCGCATTGCAGGAGTTTAGCTAGGATTACAATGTTACTAAACATATTGAACTTTTTACCTTTTTTTTTTTTTTTCTAAAGGCAAAAATCATATTTGCAGTGTTTATTTGCTTATAATAAAAATTAACAACCTGCAATACTCCAGTAATATAAGAGAAGGGCTGCTGAACTGTGCAATAAAGAATGTTTTTAGCAACTCCTGGCAGGTACATGTCTTTGGATCCAGTAACAGCTTTTCCGTTTAGTAAAAACAATTTGTGAATTAGGTATCATTCTCCAAGTCAAAAACCCCTGTAGTGTTTTATAACTTCTGAAACTTCTGTTTTTTCTATTAGGTGAATAATACAATATTAGCATTTATAATATGTATCAGTTGAAAGTCAAGTTTTAATATGTTATGACAGCTTGATGAAATGGGCCGTGTGCTTAAGGATCTCTATAAGTCACCGTTGGCATGGGAATGGGATGATTTTTCACAACTTCCAACCCAAATGCATTGAAATGTGTTTTTATATTTGAATCCAGGTTCAGGACAAATTCAAAACATCCAACCTTTCACATCAAAGGACCTTCAGATTCTGTCCTTGGGCGACCGTGTCAGGGATTTGAAACAGCTAAAGTTTCTTTATGCGAAAGGAGAAAAAGATACAGTCTTTGAAAAATACTACAAAAGTATGTAACTATTTCATTAATGAATAGAAATGCTAGAGATCAATATACTGTAGTTCTATTCCCTCACCTTTCTCACCTTTTGCCATGCTTCCTACCTTTCACTTTCCTTTTCATTCAATCATTTGTTTCAGCAACTGCTATAAACTGAAGCCTATAGCTAGGGTGATTAACTTCCAGTCTGTCATCCTAAAAACTGCTATACTTCTACGCTCCTGCATAAAAACATACACTATATTGCCAAACGTATTGGGATGTCTGCCTTTACACACACATGAACTTTAATGGCATCCCAGTCCTTTGTCTGTGGGGTTCAATATTGAGTTGGCCCACCCTTTTCAGCTATAACAGCTTCAACTCTTCTGGGAAGTCTGTCCACAAGGTTTAGGAGTGTGTTTATGGGAATGTTTGACCATTCTTCCAGAAGCACGTTTGTGAGGTCAGGCACTGATGTCCGACAAGAAGGCCTGGCTCTCAGTCTCCACTCGAATTAATCCCAAAGGTGTTCTATCGGGTTAAGGTCAGGACTCTGTGCAGGCCAGACAAGTTCCTCCACCCCAAACTCGCTCATCCATGTCTTTATGGACCTTGCTTTGTGCACTGGTGTGCAGTCATGTTGGAACAGGAAGGGACCATCCCCAAACTGTTCCCACAAAGTTGGGAGCATGAAATTGTCCAAAATGTTTTGGTATGCTGATGCCTTAAGAGTTCCCTTCATTGGAACGATGGGGCCAAGCCCAGCCCCTGAAAAACAACCCCACACCATAATCCCCCCTCCACCAAACTTTACAATTGGCACAAAGCAGTCCGGCAAGTAGCATTCTTCTGGCAAACACCAAACACAGACACAACCATTGGATTTCCAGACAGAGAAGTGTGATTCATCACTCCAGAGAACACCTCTCCACTGCTGTAGAGTCCAGTGGCAGCATGCTTTACACCACTGCATACGAAGCTTTGTATTGCACTTGGTGATATAAGGCTTGGATGCTGCTGCTCGGCCATGGAAACCCATTCCATGAAGCTCTCTATGCACTGTTGTTATGCTAATTTGAAGATCACATGAAGCTTAGAGGTCTTTAGGTTTTGACTATGCAGACAGTTGGCGACTTCTGCGCACTATGCGCTTCAGCATGCGCTGACCCCATTCTGTCATTTTACATGTCCTACCACTTTGTGGCTGAGTTGCTGTTGTTGTTCCAAGCTGCTTCCACTTTGTTATAATACCACTAACAGTTGACTGTGGAATATTTAGTAGCAAGGAAATTTCACGGATGAACTTATTGCACAAGTGGCAACCTATCATGTTACCACGCTTGAATTCACTGAGCTCCTGAGAGATCCATGCTTTCACAAATGTTTGTAGAAGCAGTCTGCATGTCTGGGTGCTTGATTTTATACACCTGTAGCCATGAACGTGATTGGAACACCTTAATCCAATGATTTGGAGGGTGTCCCAATACTTTTGGCAATATAGTGTACTTTTACTATTTACAGTTATATTGCTAATTATATATATAGTAGTTGGTAATAATAAGCATATATATGTATTGCAGTGATTAATGGTGCTGTTCTCCTAAAGCAGTAGTTGCCAACTTATGAAGTACAGGGGGACTCCACTGCTACCCCTTACATCACCAAAGGGTCACACATAATGGCTAGCATTGGGAAACAGGTTCAGGTTTGTGGTAAATCCATGAGATTCTGTAAGTTGCAAAATTTTGCACAGTTCACTACCAGAAATAAAGAATGACATTTAAATGTTTTGCCTTTTCTCTGGCCAGCTGAGTCACAAGAGACAATAGTTTGAAGTAATGAATATCCCAGACCCCCCCCCCACTATAAATGAGTGGGTTCACAGCAGCCATATTGTCAGTGTGTTGGAGCTGTAAGATTTGACATTTCTATATAGTAAGAGTTTTTTTTTATTCTTATTTTTTTTTTATTTTGACATTGGTACTTTCCCTAATGGCGGTTGCTTATTAGCCCTACAAATAGGTAGAAATGAATAACAGGATTCACACCCATAGACTTTAGTGGGCTTCGCCACAAAGTTTGCGAACTTCAAACTTGGAGCAATACTTACAAAACCATTAATGAATCAAATCCAAGTAGATTTGCTCATCCATATTTGGCATATGTAATTTTAGAGAGGACTGGCAGACATACTAGAAGAAATAATGGGCATAAACTTTTGACATGATGCAGATGAAGTTGGAGACTGGAGACAAACTGCAGACAACAGTCAGAAATTGGGAAAAGTTACATAAGGATAGTAGAGATCGCTGCTGTTAACCCTTTACAAATCAATGCTCCCATTACAGACTGCAGGAGTCCAAGAGCCACAGAACAAGTACCAAAGGCCCTCAGGCTGCAGACTGGACACAAGGATCTAAAAAGGAAACTTTATTCTGCCAAAAGAGCCTGCCTTTAGTGTTGTCAGTGTACCCTGGCAGTAAATTAAAGTATGTAGGACAGATGCCTTCCCTGTTCTTAGTACTTATCTGCTGATAGGACAGCAGACAAGCTGTATGTAAACAGAGCAAGGTTTACACTGCCTTGGTCCTGGCATGATGACTTTGAAAGCACAGGAAAGAACATACTAAGATATTAGGTTTTATTGGCAAACTTGCTTAATATCAATGGGTATTTCAAAAAAGAAATGTATTCCCAAGGTTTTACCAAGGTTGCACCAATCTGGATGCACTGCTTCTATTATCCTAGTAGAAGATTGTGAACAGTTGATTAAATAATCTGAATTTAAAATCTTTAAACTAGTTAAGTTAAGAGTGATTTTCCATAGGGGAGAAGAGGTCGATCACCTTAGGACACTAACAAAAACCTCATGGAGTTTTGTAGAATTATAGGGGGGATGCCCAGGGGTGTTCAGTCACCTGAGGTATCAGCCAATATCCCAGATTCTATGAATACCAAGCCAGTACTATACAATTAAGATATACAGTTATCCTTTAACCTTTTGTACAAAGTACTTTTGTACAAATCTAACGTCAGTCTTTTTTAAATTTCCTTCCCTCAGAGGTCTCTAGCAGTGGTAACGGGTACAAGAGAGCTGTTATTATATTAACGGTACCTGGGTAAGTATCTCTCATCTAATATTTTTTATTACATTTTATCTACATAGAACCACATGTACAGTACAGTTAATGCCTTGTTGACAATATGGAGCACAAAATGAAGCATAAACTACAATCTTATTTCACTCTCCAGAAACTACAACTAACAGTAAAAACAAAAAGCAGGTTAGCACACTAACCTGCTCCCTGACCTCCCATGTCCTTATTACATATTTTTCCATTATAACCAACTGATAGAGAGTCCATGTTGCAGAATGCACAGCAAAACACCTAGTTCGTATTCCTGAATAAGCAGAGTAATATATCATTTCTGCTCCGATATATTCAGAATATCAAAAAGCCAATACTTTAAAATGCCGAGCATGATAGTGTACATAGCCAGCGTTATGATATATAGACCAAAATGCAGAGACTTTGTTCTTAGTATTGTACAATACACAAGCCACATTCTCCTGCACTAAGAGCGCATAAATATTAACTGTTTTGATTTCCCAATGCTTATCGTTAATCAGAAGCTGGCAGTGTGTAGTACACACTGCATTTTATGAGTATTGTTTCATCTTGCAGGAGAAGGACGTTTTGGCAGGAGTTGACACTCAGCCTCCCCAAAATTTAACACAATCCCAGAATGGTGAGCTGGGATTTATAAAGCAGAGAAGCTAGCAGGAGAGAACAAGTTAACAACTTAAAGTGTTATCATGGACAAAATAAAAATTGACCTATATTTTGCAGTCTGTCATTGGTAATAACACAAAAGCTATTTGTTCCCCCAGAGTACGCTCTGCAACATAGTTGTATGTTACCTATCTATCCATTAAATGCATGTGCCTCTACTATGGAGACTCAAATTTATTGAGTTAGGAACCACAGATTACCAGGGTGCCTTGATGTGGCTCTGTGGCTTACGTATGTATTTGCAAATGTGTTAATACTACTGACAAGTATTATTATATTTGCAATTTTTTTACTTTGCCCTTATTTATACTTTAAAATATAAGGTGCACAGGTAACAGAAAGGTGCAGTAACAGGTGAAGTAGGAGTAATTTTAATTGTTTAATGATCAGCAACTAGCCTTTTCAGAGAGGTGATTTTTAATCAAATGTTATGCTTTGGCCATTCAACCTTCTAAAAAAAAAACAAATGTATAAAAGCATAGCTCAAACCCAGAACCTAACTAATAACAAAGTGAATAAAGACAGCAATCTGTCATGATTCCAAGTTACTAACATTCTTTAGGATATGTTAGTTGGTCTGACCTATTTATTTGGATGTCCCTGCTGCCACTAGTCTAGCTCAATGCCTATATGGAAGTAGGTCGTAGGACAGACCATAAACAGTCTGGATGCATTATATCCCAGCTTGAACTTTCCTTGATCAACTTTTCTTGCCCCTATAAAAAGTAAAGATCATTGGATGTACAATGAGAACAGGCTAGACTAACAACTCCATGAAATGAGTATTGGCGCAGGAGAGGTGGTTGTGGATATAATAGTTATTTGGTGGAGAATGGGGATAATGCAGCATAGGTAGTTCTGGGGAGAAAGGGGAGGGGGGGGGTTCTTTAAAACAGCTGCAAGGTATGGCACCGTCGTGAGGCAGCTTCCTCTAAAGCGGAACTCTGCAGTGAGAAATTAGAGGAGAGAGAGGTGTGCCAGACTAAGTGTAGTATAAAAACAACAATTTATTGCACACAAATATGAGAAACTCACAGGAGGTAGAGAGTTTTCAGGCATCTCCCTTATATATGGTACTATGCCCGGATGGCATCCTCCCTTATATTTGATGCCTGAAAACTCTCTACCTCCTGTGAGTTTCTCATATTTGTGTGCAATAAATTGTTGTTTTTATACTACACTTAGTCTCTCTCCTCTAATTTTAGACTAACAACTCCACCTGTTTGCATCTAATAAAACTTAGATCAACACAAGCATAGCTTCTTTGTGTTAAAGCATGTGGTAGACACCCATCTTGGTATTTTTCTTAAAGTTATCCATCTTAGATGCTTGGAGTAGGATCTACAAGATAAAATAGATATAGTTATCTATTAGTTATAGTTATATTCAGAGATGAACCTTATCTCTATAACCCCTAAAACTAAGCTTCAAAAAGGCTAAATAGTTTTATAAAGACTTTGGAAATCTTCCATATGAGGTTTGAGTAAAAGAATGTATCTATTTTATGTCTACTTCTTTTCTTCCTTGGTTGCAGCAATAGTATTTCTGGAGGGCAGATTTCTATTGGTTGAAGTCCTTCTGAGACTTAGCCTTACGCCACAGATGTTCAAAAGCGAGGCTATGTTTTTTTGAGACCTCTGGTGTCATCTGTTTGTCAAGGTTGTAGGGGTTGGGACCTGACTGTGTATGTAGTGAGGGGGGTAAGCTGGATAACTGATACTGTAAAGGCAGGTTAGGGAATATATGTTTCTTTTAAATAGTGCATATCATTGATATTGTCTAGCACAAGCTTTAGAATTATTTGCTGTGTTTACAGAAAACTGTACAAACATAGCTAAAATTACAATGTTAAAGCAAGCACAAACTGAGCATTTGCCATAATGCATAAGGAATACTAATGCCTGCACATATGAAGAGTCTGTACAAATGAGGGAATAAGATATACCAAGAGTAATATTTTCGCATTTTATCACTTTACTGTTCTGGCTTAGTATATCATATTGTGAGAAAAGTTAATTTATAAGTTTTGTATCTGACCTGCAAAAATTGTTTTTTTATATCAGGGATGAAAATGAGTCAAAGCAAAATCCTTCACAAATGAGTGGCAGTAATCAAATGGATGAATGTGACCCTTTCAATGCATCAACAAGCAGGTGTATACAATATGCGTGAGTATAATAAAATAAATATCCACAAACAAAAGCCAATCCAATAGATATGCAATGTACTATGACAGTCACTAATGTATGTTTCATAGGCCAGTTCAGTAAGGAAACACTGTCCTAATAAATGATATTTATTGCTATATTAAGTTTCATTGTTCGGGGCTTTCAGCTATCAGTTTCCAGTCTCCATCACAGAGCTTCTGCCATTCAGTGAGATGTCCTAATCTAAGCTTCTTCACACTAATCTTACTAGGAACCTAACCTTAACACTAACCCTACCTATAACCTAAACCTAACTTTATCAGTCCCTTAATACTAAGCCTACTTGGAATTCTAACCCTTATACTAAACTTCCTGATAGATGTAAACTTTATACTAACACTCCCTGTAACTCTAACCCTTACGCTAACCATCCCTGTAACTTAACCTTAACAGTAATCCTCCTTGTAACCTAACCCGAATATGAACCCTCTTTGTAACCCTAACACTATCTCACTGTGTAACCCCAACCCTCACACTAAGCTGTCCTAAAACCCTAACACTTGTTTTTTTCTGTAACCTTAACAACTGAGAGAGTTCCAGCTGTCGTTTCTTTTTTTTTTTACATTTTTATTAATTTTTTTTATATTTTTAGTTCTTTTTGTATTTAGATTTTTTTTATTCTTTGATATTGATGCTTTTGTCAGACTGGCAGCTTCCTCCTCCTACTCCCTCTGTTCCCACCTCCACTCCCTCCTCCCACTACTCCTCCACCTCTTCCGTTTTTACCTCTTTCTCATCCATCTCCTTCTCCATTGTGTTTATGGCATGAGGCCCTGGGGAGCTGAGGTTAAACGTGAAAGATATGCTCAGGGCATCATACATAATGACACATGGACAGTGCTGACCAATCAGATGCTGTCTAGCCCATACTGTCATTGGTGCAAGGAGAAGAGAGAAAGCTGCTTCACAGGTCTGGGGATTTGAAATCCCCACAGCATTCTGTCCTCTCCTTGTTATGATTACAGTTTGGGCCATTTGATGGTGCTGACCAATCAAAAGCCCTCTAGCCCGAACTGTCAACCCTGCAAGCAGAGGAGAGAAAGCCGTAGGGATTTCAAATATCCGCCGCTTTGTCTTCTCTCCTACTGCTAAGAATATGGAGCATCTGCCTCCATAGTATACATCTCCACATACCCACTCTCCACTCAGCATGGGATGCCTGTAGGGAGGTTTCCCGCACTGCTCCTGTGTGAACTCAGGCTATGACAAGCCTGGGTGCACACAGGAGCAGTGGGGAAACCGCATGCAATTTGGACAGGAATCACATTCCTTTTCAAACTGCATGCTAATCTTTTGTGGTGCAATATGTGTTGACGCAGTTCTCCCTGCAAAGTATTGGTTTCCGGTATCGGGAGCATTTTTACGAGTACTCATAAAAATACTCAGTATTGGTACATCCCTGCTGTTGTCATAATTTAAATTAAGCCTTCCAGGAAAATACATTGAAAGTCTCCCAAAGCCAAATCACCTGCAAAGGTGATTTAAAAATAAAGCTGTTGCTACAAATAAAAAAAAAATACCTTCTGGGAATGCTGGGTGCTGGAAATCCTGCAAAACAATGCACTCTAGCCCATTGCAGAGGCTTATTGTCACTGAACCAGTGGTGAGGTACAATGATGTCACCTGTCCTTCCAAACACAGGTGTATTTTTTTTTTAAGCAGTGCTTTATTTTTTATCACATTTGCAGACGTTTTAACTTTGGGGTGGGAGAGGATTTCAGTAGAATTTACCTTCCATTTTTCTGGAAGGTTCACTTTAAAAAAGGCCTGTGAGAAAACAATTGAAGGCAGCAGCAATTAGGAGACATGACCTGTGAAAAAACACATGGAGCCTGTTATCACTATACCGTGTGTGGACAGGGGCATGCTGAAAAGCAAGGGTGTCAAACTGGCGGCCCTCCAGCTGTTGTGAAACTACAAGTCCCATCATTCCTCTGCCTTTGGGAGTCATGCTTTTAACTGTCAGTCTTGCAATGCCTCACAGGACTTGTAGGTTGGCAACAGCTGGAGGGCCGCCGGTTTGACACCCATGCTGTAAAGGATATCTACAACTTCAAGGTGAGAAAGGCAAAAACCCTTCCCTCCCCCAACCCCCAAATTCTCCAACATACACAGCTATTTAGTACTTACATAGAATTCAGTACGGGCTGATATCTACTTTAAAAGACCAGCTATTTCCTACAAGCCCTACACTAATCTCAACCTACACACTTTATCAGCAGCACACCCTATGATTTACCCATAATAGCTAAAGCATAGTCAATATAGCTGCTGGGAACCCACCTTTGCTTATTCAAAATCCCCACTTATTAGCCATTCCAAGCCAGTTGACCTAAGTTCAAAAGGCAGGCTGAGAATTGTGGTTAATTTGTTGAATTCCTGCATTAATTCATCAGATCTCCATATTGCGAACATGCAGAATTAGCTACAAACCAATGGTAGCAGTGAAGCTGAACCTCATCTCTACCAAAGACTAACCCTTCTGTGCTAATAGATATCCATGGTGGTATCCCAGTGCCAACATCTATTGTTCTAATGTTTTGCTAGCTTTGGTCAACTGGTTATTTTGAACACAACATCCAAACATCCCTTAAAATAAAGAGTGTATATACTGTGTGTGTGTGTGTGTGCATGTATATATACATACACTGCTCAAAAAAATTAAAGGAACAATTTTTAATCAGAGTATAGCATCAAGTCAATTAAACTCCTGGGATATTGATCTGGTCAGTTAAGTAGCAGACGGGGTTGTTAATCAGTTTCAGCTGCTTTGGTGTTAATGAAATTAACAACAGGTGCACTAGATGGGCAACAATGAGATGATCCCCAAAGCAGAAATGGTTTTAGGCTAGGTTCACATATGTGTGGGTGATGCCGCTGCAGATCAGCACAAAAATCTGTGAAGGCCTGACATCCTCTAGTGGGCCCTGTGCTCACTGCTCGGCACCATAGAGCTTGATTGGCATTTGCCATTGAACACCAGAATTGGCAGGTCCACCACTGGCGCTCCATGCTTTTCACAGATGAGAGCAGGTTCACCCTGAGCACATGTGACAGACGTGAAAGGGTCTGGAGAAGCCATGGAGAGTGTTACGCTGCCTGTAACATCGTGCAGCATGACCGTTTTGGTGATGGGTCAGTGATGGTCTGGGGAGGCATAGCCATGAAGGGATGCACAGACCTCTACAGCTAGAAAATGGCACCCTGATTGCCATTAGCTATTGGGATGAAATCCTTGGACCCATTGTTAGACCATAGGCTGATGCAGTGGGTCCAGGGTTCCTCCTGGTGCACGACAATGTCGCCTCATGTGGCAAGAGTATGTAGGCAGTTCCTAGAGGATGAAGGGATTGATACCATTGAATGGCCCCCACGCTCGCCTGACCTAAATCCAATAGAACACCTCTGGAATATCATGTTTCAGTCCATCCGACGCAGCCAGGTTGCACCTCAGACTGTCCAGGAGCTCAGTGATGCCCTGGTCAAGATCCAGGAGGAAATACCCCAGGACACCATTCATTTTTTCACCAGGACCATGCCCCGACATTGTCAGGCATACATACAAGCATGTGGGGACCATACAAACTACTAAGTACCATTTTGAGTTGCTGCAATGAAATTTCTGCAAAATGGACTAGCCTGCTGCATAATTTTTTCACTTTGATTTTGGGGTGTCTTTGAATTTAGTACTTTGTAGGTTGATAATTTTCATTTCCATCAAACGTTGGGGCATCCTTACGTTCCAAACACATTACCCAGTCCATATCAGTATAGATATCCAGCATGATATTTTTCCCCGTTGAGATCTGATGTGTTTTTAAAGTGCTCCATTATTTTTTTAGCAGTGTATGTATATATATATACATATATATATATAAATATATATTTATCCAGTTACTGTTTATGTAACATGATTCTTTTACTTTAGGTCTCCGGTATATGGTTCACCTGTTGGAAGTCCCATACCAAACATTGGTAATCCACCACACATATATAGGTAATATACAGTAATTTAAGTATACTTACTGTATGTACAGTAATGCTTACATGCAGTATGTTCATCAAATGTAACATATACTAAATAGAAACCAAATTATAGTCGTTCTATAACTTGTTAGGATCCTTAAACTAATAGCTATAACTAGCCATTTAAAGCTTTAAGTATGTGGCTTGTGTTAAAAAACAAAAATATTACCAAGAAAGCTAGGAGTAGAGTACTTGTTGTTTACATAGTAACAGCTCTCTAGGATATTTTGGCTTGTGTTTTATTTCCCAGGATTTATTGAGTGCATTTAATCTTTTCATGGCTGAGGATCATCAGTTCCCTGATGTCCAGGCTAAGTTTAGCAGTGTCCGTATCCAACATTTAACTTGACTATAATTCTATCCTTTCATGTGCTGGAATATACCTCTGCTTGAGGAAGTTTATGAATATATCCTTACTGCATGGATCATCATGTTGAAGGATATTTATATACAGGTCAGAAAGAGTTTAATGCATTTTCATACAGTGTGCTAATTGTATTTTATTGCAACATCTATTTCATTATGCTTGATATAAGACGTTTTAGCAACCCTCCAGTCAAAATGTAATAAAAATTAAAATTAAAATGCATGCAGGGAGCACAGCCTACTTGCTAAGTATTTCAGTTTTTCCTCTATAGGCACTAAACCAGTCTATCCCACTCCCTTTTGTCAGTGACCTAGTTATATGAGTACCTCAGCTTGTTATATAGGCAACAAATCCCCAAACAAATGCACTGCAGGCTTCTTGCTTACTCTCAGATATATACTGTAATCCATGATTAAAATGATTCTTGAATGTAATTGATGATACAGGAAGCAGAAAATAAGAAAGTGATTGGTCAACTCAGCCAGTTAACTCTCAGGCCTCATTCACACAGACAAAAAGTGCCCACCTGTGGCAAGTATACTGTGGATATTTTTGTTCAGGATCCCACGTTTTCTGATCGGTGGTGACTGTTCAGCTTGTACAACTGAATAACAGGCTGACAGGAGCCTCATCTCTCCACCGCTGTAAGCAGAAATTTGCAGGTTTCTATATATCCACCCCAATCTATCTGGGTGACTAGGTTCAGACATCTGACCCTAACAGTTAACAATTGGATGTGAACATGCATGTATATGGATGCTGTGCCCAGTGCCCTACCACTGAAAGAATAAAGAATACAATTATACATAGGGTTCTCACTGATACAGGGTAAGGGGTTCCATGGTGACTTTTCTGGGTGGTGAAAACCGTTTTTCTGTTTTCCTTGGGATTGTTAATTCTTGGATTGGGTCCCGGAGTCCAGATGCTTTGAAGAGCCTAGAGAAGGATGAATCCTCTTCCCTTGTGTCCATGTCTTACCATGAGACCAGCAGCCAGACAGTGCAGTTGTGCACAGTTTTTATAATCAAGGGGCTGTTAGTTATTCATGGTTCCTTCGGGGAGACAGGAGTTCCCCTGTCCAAAGGTCAGGTTGTTGACCATTGAGGCAAGGGGCTGCAAGAGAGAAGGCGTGTCTTTAAGCAGAAGCCTGTACAGCCAAAGTGAGCATTTTCATTAGTTAGAATGTTGACTGAGACCGCATGGGGATTCTGTGCGGGGAACTCCAGGACTAAAAAATCTAAATTGCCAGGAGACTAGAAAATTTTGTGTTACATTGTGGTGATGCTGAAAACACCTGCCAGGGAAAACCCCTCTTTGTTTTTGAACTATTATTTTCTTCATTAATAAAAGGGGGCCAAAAAGCCCTGAAACATATTTCCCGGCTGAACTGGACTTAATACCAGAGGCATCACACTTGAACAAAACCCCCAAATATCACAAGTGGGGCTCAGATACAGGTAAGAAAGAAAGAAGCAGGTTTTCCAGATCCTTGCTGGGAAATTTGTGTAAGCATGGGTTCACATACTGTATAGGCGGTTCGGTACATCGCATGTGATTCGCAAAGGAATCGCACCGCATTTCTGTGAAAATCACATGCGATTTGTGTGCGGTGCGATTGGCTATGAGTCGGATCGCATGGGTATTCACACCTGTGCGATCCCATTCTGCACATCGCACCACGTTTTGCAGACCAATTTTGGGATGTTGTTAACTTAACACAACAGCCACAGTGGTTCAGGTGAACTGGGTGAGGTGTGGAATTCACACATAAAACATGCAGGCAAAAATAATAAATGCACAATTTTTTACCTGCAACAAAATGTGCATTTATTATTTTTGTGCAAAAAGTGAACTTATATAGTAAAGCACTGAGCAAACTGTTGGCGCTATATAAATCCTGTATAATAATAATAACTTATCCTTTAAGTTATTCATCAATTGCAATACCAGGAATGCCCTTAACCTTATTACGTGCAAAATATGTGCAAATCAGTATGTTGGCAGAACCACCAGAAGATTGAGAGATCGTCTCCATGACCATCTATATAACATTGAGAAAGTTCATGGCACTAATGTAGCTAAACATTTTAACGATGCTTGTGGGGGCGATATTTCATTACAGATATAAGGAATTGAAAGGGTAACTGTCCCCAGGCGGGGAGGAAACTTATTCAGATTGATTTGCAAACGTAAATTGTTTTGGATCTTCCATGTTCAAACCAGAATTCCAGTATGGTTGAACTTTGAATGGGATCTCATTCACTATTATGAATAAGGTTCCATGTGTCCTATACACAGTATTTAATGGAATGATGTATAAACTGATCATATAAAATTAATTACAGTAGTACCTGTTGGTATATTCACATGACACCTCCTGATTATTATTATTATACAGGACTTATATAGCGCCAACAGTTTGCTCAGCTCTTTACATTATGGAGGGAGACAGTACAGTAACAATACAGTTCAATACAAGAGGGATTAGAGGGCCCTGCTCCTTGGAGCTTACAATCTAGGAGGGAGGGGATAGTGGTACAAGAGGTAATTAGCTGTGGGGGATGGAGTGGCAGGAAGAGTAGGGGATTCCAGTGTTAGCTGGGGTTGGGGTAGGCTTCCCTGAAGAGATGGGTTTTCAGAGTGCGCCTAAAAGTGAGCAGAGTAGGCGATAGCCTGATAGATTGGGGTAGGGAGTTCCAAAGGATGGGTGAAGCCCTTGAGAAATCCTGGAGACGGGCATGGGAGGAGACAAGGGAGCTAGAGAGTAGGAGGTCTTGCGAGGAGTGGAGAGTATGGTTTGGGTGGTACTTAGAGACAAGATCGGTGATTTAATTTGGGGCAGTGTTATGAACGGCTTTGTATGTCAGTGTTAGTGTTTTGAATTTTATCCGTTGGGCAATTGGAAGCCAGTGGAGTGATTGGCAGAGAGGGGTGGCAGATACAGAGTTGTTAGTAAGATGAATGAGTCTGGCAGCAGCATTCATGATGGACTGGAGTGGGGATAGCCAGTGATGAGTTAGGCCAGTGAGGAGTTAGACTCACCCTCTAATACCTCCTTCTGGGGTCTCCAACCCAACAACCCAGGAACAGAAAGTGCTAAACACAATCAACTCTGTGAACCAAACAGCGCAGTCATTTAAAATACACACAGTAGAAGGCAGTAGTCCCCTACAAACGTATTCTGTGTGTGTGTACCTGAGCTGAATGTAGTAGGGGTGACCACTAAGCAAGATGAGTTACCTCCCCTGGACCTACATCTAGTAGCAATGTGTTAATACAGGCTGCCAAAACTTAGTCCTCAGGCACACTAGACGTTTTTGCAGCTGCTGTTTTTTGCTTTTGAGATTTTTTTCTACAGCCAGTAAACCCCCCAGCATGTTATCCTATGTGTCCATGCACACACAGACTGTAATCAACATTTTTTGGCTGGAAAAAACCCCCAGAACTAGTGGGTTTCTAGAGATGATTTTTAGCTGTAAAATTGCTCAAACTCTAAAAAAAAACACTGAAAAACGCAGCAAAAAAACATGGTAAAATACTGCAAACCAGCATGTTGGACTTTTTTTTACCCCCCTCCCCAAATTTTTTTTTTTGGTCAAAAAAACCCGCTAAAAAAACGCAAACGCAGAAAAACGCTGGAAAACTAAACTCTAATGCAAAAATGCTAAAATCTGAAAACTCAAAAATGTCACTTTACACAGCTAAAACTCCACGTGGTATGAAAACGTCAAGTGTGCACCTAAAAATGTTTATGTGGTTTGATGCTTCACCATAGCACAGTGGTGAAAATGGGGTAATACAACCAACTGTGTTTAAAAGTGTGTTATCGCAATCTGGTATAGTTAAAAGTTTAACATGTAACGTGTCTGTTGCTGAACCAATCTGTACTTCAGTGTCTCCTTGGGCAGATGGATTGATACTGTGAAGTACCTTTGACTGAAGCACCAATAGATTGGGACAATTTAGCCAAGAGTTTAATCCCAATATTGGAAGGGGCCTCTGTATTTAACATAGGGGTGGACACTTTCTCTGCTGGGCCAGATGGAGGGTCTGCTGAACAAGGGTGTGTTTGCTGCTGCTGAAGATAACCCTCAAAAGATGGAAAGGCCAAGTAAGGGGGGAGCACACAGCTGAGGTCTTATCCCAACCAACAAAAGCATTATTAATGATGTGGTATACCAAACTAACAGTGTCCCGGGTAAGGATCTGAATCTGGCTCATTGTCACTGAACCAGAGAGATTGTTAGTGGATCAGGCACAGGGCAATGCTCTGGGAGAGCACCTCGCTGTTGTACTGGCTATGCCAAAGGCTATCTCTAATTGGGTCCTTTAAGAAAAACAAGATCTAGAGCTTCAGTGAATGAGTCCATCCACATCCTGAAGGTTTCCAAGATGGTCTTAAGCATGGATTCAGGTTACTCTTTTATGACACATACCTAAAGAAATGCTTAAACTCTGGAATTTAGAACTATTATATGCCTAGGTATCTCCTATTCAGTCGGACAAGCTGGTATTGCCAAATGTCACATTGCTTACAGCAGCAGAGAGACACAATTCCCATCAGCATATTATTCAGTTGTACAAGCTGAGCAGCCTTTGAATATCCATAATTTATTTGTCACAGGAATCCTCAGGAGGACACGATTTGCACATGTGAGCGAGGCCTTACACCATTTTCACACACACTATGCATTGCAGTAACACATAGAAATACAAAGCTGTGCATTGGTGTGTGTTGTATTACAAATAAAGTCTGTTTTTCATTCTGTTATTTCTGCAGTGCATTGGCATTAACTCACTAAATAGTGTACCTTCACATGCATGTTGTAATGCACTGCAACACAAGAGGCCTTAAAAGGAGGGATAGTCATAGCCATTCATATGTATATTGAAAATTCTTTGCCTCCATCCCTCTTCCCAACAATGTAAACATTCATTGAAATTATTACAGTCAAAACTTTGTCATTTCTTCATGGGTGTGTCCCATGACACTATGCATATTTTTGAAATCGTAATATTTTCCATATTAAATTTTAATTGTTTGAGCGTAATAATCAAAACCTTAAGCTGGGCCCACACAGGCATCGCTAGAGGTTGCTACACAAATTTGGAGCTTATTTCTTATATTAGCAATTACTACATGCTGTACTCCACTGTTCTTTATGTGTAGTGTTTGATCGCTTTTTACTAGAAATGTATCAAGTGGTCAATCATGGGTAATGATCGCTTTTGCATAGGTTGTCTGGGAGCGCCCAGCCTTCCTCTGTACTCAAGGCTCAGGGAGTGGCTGTTAAAACATTCTATGATCAAAATGATGGTAAATGCGTACAAAAGAGGTATAACCCAATTAAGCTGTGCTAAAAATGCAGATGGGGATGTGAACACAGCTAGCTAATGACTTCTCTACTGAGCCATTATATTTATAAAAATGTATCTCTAGAAAACAAGACAGAGAGATACTAACAGAAATCTATTGGATGGCTTTTAACTGGCTTAAAATGTGTTTCTGCTCTAGTCCTCCAGTTGGGTCAGTTCAGCCATTTCTACCTGCACTGGCAGATCAAGCCTCTTTTACTCCAAGGTAAGTGTAAACACTGTGCTTTTCATATCAATTTGTTTAGGTCTCTTGCACACAGTACTGATGTTTGAGCGTCAGCATTTCTGGATAATAACTTCAAATGCTTGTCTTGAGCGTACTCGCGTTCATGTGTACAATACACTCCTATGCTAAATCCATTAGTAGTTATGCTTATAACCACTTACCTGGGCAAAATACTGAATTAGGAATGCAGATTTTTCTATATATATTTTTTTTTGTACTCAAGAATACACAGCGTTTGTTTACACGCCTGTGTGTACAGGCACATTGTAAACAATGTGCTGCATTTTAGATCAGTTAAAAAAAACACTGTACTGATCTTTTTCAAGCTGCAGTGTACAAGAGTAAATAGCTATGAGTAAGGTCTTTGACTAAACTCATTATTGTTGCTTGCATTCTGGAAGGATTTTTACTCCGTATCTGAATAAAATTTCTACAATTTATCTTCACCTTGTTGCTGATCCAACATGATTTGATTCACTGGTTCAGCGGATGGAAACCGCAGGAGTCGCATGGTGAGATACATACTCCTTTTTCGAAAACATGCTATAAGGGTCGCAGCACCTATTTTTTGTATATGCATTGTACAAGAGGCCTTAAAATAACATACAGGATAAATATATATAAAAATAAATATGGCAAACAAATAAGTCCCAGTGTTCCATCTTGCTTTTTGTGGTTTATCTGTCTCCTAAGCCTCCATGCTTATATATACGATCCAGGCAAAATGCGCATAGTGCAACCAAAGCAGGGGCAGACTGACCATTCGGGCATTGCCTGAGGGCCCGGGGTCGCATCCGAGTGTGAGGTAGGATACAGTACCGCATGACTTATTTTATCAAGGCATGCAGTATTTTAGTAGGAAAAACCATGCATTAATGTTTCAGCTGTCAGTGGGGTTCCTGACTCTGTCTATATCATTTAAAAATATATTAAAAAGTAAGGGCCCCAGCACTGAAACTTGGGGGACTCCACGAATAACCTTAGACCATTCAGAGTGTGAATCATTAACCACTACTCTCTGACTCTCTACCCTACCGTCTTTTAGCCAGTTTTCTATCCATTTATAAGTTGAGTTTCCTGAGCCTGTAGACTTTACATTACACATTAGCTGTGTGGGAGGGAAATGTGTCAAATGCTTTTGCAAAATCCAAGTATACTACATCCACAGCTACTCCTATGTCTAAAAGTTTGCTTACTTCCTCATAAAATAAAATCAGATTTGTTTAACAACTTTGGTCTTTCATCAATCCATATTGTCTATTGCATAAAATTTCATTTTCTAGCAAAAACATTCCTTTATGTGATCTTTTATTAAACTTTGATTCCTTTTTAAATATAGGCATCACATTTGCCGTTCGCCAATTCATTGGTACTGAGCCAGTCATTAAAGAGTCTAAAAATTTGTAAAAATGGCTTTGAAAAATGGAGCTCAACTCTTCAACACTTTGAGGACATGTGGGTGTATGCTGTCTAGGTCATGTGCTTTATTCTCCCTTAATTTGTCTAAATGTTTCTGGACTATATCACTTTTAGTCATAGTGGGCTATGTCTATACTATCCCCATTATTGACTTGAGCTCCTCGTTTTGCTCTGTATACACAGAACTGAAGAAGGTATTTATTAAATTTGCCTCCTCTTTGCCCTCAGTCACCAACTTTAACCTCTTCACGCCGGCCGCACACAATGTGTGGCCTTCCGGCCTCTGGGCCTAGACGCTGAGTGGCCACACATTTGTTTGCAGTTAAAAAAAACATTTGTGCTCCCAGCACACATGTCTGGTACTCACGGAAAGGTCCCGATCTCCTCTTTCGATCGGGACCTTTCCCAATCATGTGATCGCCATGACGGCGAATCAAAGCAGTCACATGACCTTAAAACCCATCCCGCCTCCTGGCTTCTGAAACCCTTAAAGGGCTGGGAGGCGCCGGCGCCAAGGGGTTAAACTATCTTGTAAAGGGGTTACATGCTCAGACCTGACCTTCTTACTACTAGCATATTTTAAGAATTTTGGGGGGTTTGTTCTACGGTCATTTATTTGAAGTTTTTCAGCCTTGATCTTCTTTTTACATATTCTGTTATATTTTTTGTAACTTTTAAATGATGATGGTGTGCCTTTATATTTATTAAACGCCATTCGCGGCCTCAGCTGTCAATCACAAGGTCCCGGCCGGTGATTACTTGCCGGCACCCAGTGCTTGCCGAGTGGTACCAATGGATGAGAGAACTGTATGTAAACAATACAGTTCTCTCCCCTGTCAGTTCCTGCACACTGCTTTGTATGGCTCTGCATAGCAGAGCCATACAAAGCAGTGTGCTTCCAGTGAAACACACACATAGTCCAAATAGTAAAACAGCACACAGTTAACCCTTTGATTGCCCCAGATGTTAACCCCTTCCTGCCCAGTGCTATTAGTACAGTGTCAGTGCTTTTTATTAGCACTGATCACTGTATTGGTGTCAGTGGCACCAAGACAGTTCCCCCCAGTGTCAGAAGTCCCACAGTCCCACTATAAGTCGCTGATCACCGCCATTACTAGTAAGAAAAAGAAAAAAAAATTCAGGTATATATACCGCCATTTGTAAACACTATAACTTTCACGTAAGCCATGTTAAACACGTATTGGGATTTTTTTTTTAGTAAAGACATGCAGCAGAATGCATTTTGCCCTAAATTTATGACGAAATGTGATTTTTTTACTAGACATGTTTAATAGCAAAACGTCAAAAATATAGTTTTTTTCTCAAAATTGTCGTTCTGTATTTGTTTACAGCGCAAAAAATAAAAACCGCACAGGCAATCAAATACCACCAAAAGAAAGCTCTATTTATAGGAAAAAAAGGACATATATTTTCTTTGGGTGCAGCATTGCATGACCGCGCAATTGTCAGTTAAAGTAATGCAGCGCGAAACGCACAAATTGGCCTGGTCAGGAAGGGGGGTAAATCCTCTGGAGGGCAAGTAGTTAAATGCCTTTATCTTATTATTTATAGCTTTTTAAACTTTGGACATGAGCCATGTTGGTTTTATTTCTAGACTTTTAAACATTGCCCATGGGAATATATTTTGTAGTGTGCTCGCAAACAGTCAATTCCATTTCTGTCCTGTGTTCTTTGATGACAATATCTCCTCCCAGTCTAAATCTTGGAGAGCAGCCCTTAGCTTTGGAAAATGTGCTCTCTTAAAATGTGTGTTTTTATCTTCCCAGTATGTGCCTGTTGTTTACAGCTTACATGAAATGAAATCATGCTATGGTCACCGCTACCCAGATATTCTTTTTTTTAAAACATTAGTAATAAGCTCTGCATTGTTTGAGATTACCAGGTCCAGCAAAGCATCCTTTCTAGTTGGGGCGCTTATAAACTATGCCATAATGCCAATTATTTTGTAATAGGTTTATACATTTCCTTCTTACTACCATTCCAGTGATACCACTACTCCAGTCAATTTCACTGTAATGAAAATCCCCATTATTATCACTGTCCCAGACTTTGCAGCCCTTTCAAGTTTTGCAAGTAGCTGAGTTTCTAGCTCCTCATTAATACTGCATGGCCTTTAACAAACTCCAATACTTTGAAGTGTGCACACAAATATGTAGCTCCATCCATAATTCTTCAGCTCCATCACACTCTCCATCAGCAAAGTTTTCTTTCAAACTCCCTTTGGGATCACTTCTCACACAGAGCCAGACACCACCACCACCTTTTCATTTTACCCTGTCCCTCTGAAAAAGAGCAAAAATGAAGTCAAGATTAATCAATACCGATTAAATTATAGTTCTCTTCATGCACCAAAGTTTTCAACTCTCTTATTTTGCTTGGCAGATTTCTGGCATTGGAGAACAAATACTTTATTACAATCCATTGTCACATTTTGCACTTGTGTTATGCATATCTTTTTTATACACATAGTATTATAATTGCCAATGGTTGTGTGTAACACGGAAAACTCCATGTCATCTGCCAAAGCCCTCCCCCAACATTCCCCAATTTACCCTCCATTAGTGTTTGACCCTTGTTTTCCCCCATTATATTTTAATTCTTTGCCCCCTAATCCTTGGGTAAATACTCCTCTAGCCTTACCTTAAACCTTCCCAAGCACAAGAGACCCCCTTCCATTTAGGTGCAAGCTATCTTTAGCATATATGTTGTACCACAATGAAAGTTAGCCTAGTTCTCTAGAATCCCAAACCCTCCCCTTCTACACTAGGTCTTTAGATATGCATTCAGTTATCTATGCTCCGCATGCTTTTCCTGCACTGTGCATGACACAGGCTATATTCCAGAGAATATAACCTTGGAGGTTCCCTTCAACTTGCAGCCTAATTCTTTAACCTCCCTGGCAGTATTCCCAAGTGTAGCTCGGGGTAAAGTTTCAGTACCACAAACGGTAACCCCGAGCTACACTCGGGCTTACCCTACGGCGCTGCTCCGGGATCCCTCGATCACTTACCTTGTCCTGCGCTCCCGCGATGTCCCTCCTGCAGTGTCCCCAGCAATGTAATCCGGCGCATGCCGGCATCTGTCATCTGGGTTCCGTCCCCTGCGACGTCGGGACGTACGGGGGACGGAACTGGCGGGAAATTTGAAAATGACAAAAAATGACATTCACTAAATACACTAAAATCACATAGTAAAACATTACTGTATCAAACCATTTCACATACATTTTGTCCCTAGTGCTTTGTCCTGTGCCTTGCCTGCATTTTTACTGTTCTTTCTGCCTGGAAACTGAGAAACGTCCATGGCGTCCAAAAAGCGTCCCTTTAGGTCAAAAGCAGGTTTTAGACCACCTAGAGAACAGCGATAGTAAATCAGAACCACTTGCAGAATTGAGTGATAATGATTCCTGGGGAAATTCATTATCAGACACTGAAAATGATATTGCAACTTTGCTCAGTGATGTGCAAACTTTGCGCTCTATTTAAAATTTCAGTGTTTTTTGTTTGATTATATTACTGAATTAAATTTATTATTATATTATTATTTTTTCTGATTATTTATTAAATTATAATTTATGATTTCGTGTTTCAAGTTTTATCATACCCGGGATGCTTACTAGACTCTTTTTCGGACAGATTTCAGTGAGTGATTCCTAAAAATTACAGGTCTACAATAAAAAAAATACATATTTCCATGCAAAAAAATGTACTGCTTTGAGCACTGAAATATGGACATAATCAGACCGCTAGAGAGGTTAAATTGATTCTTAAGGATCCTCCATCTTCCATGCATTCTGCCATTGGTCCCAACATGAGCCAAGATAGCTAATCTATGTGCCCAGTCCCTCCCTGTAAATTATCTACCTGGTCCACCACAAGCTGAACCCTGGCACCAGGGAGACAGCACACCACTTAATTGAGGTGATCATGGTGACAAATTGTTCTGTCAGTCCTTCTGATTATAGAAGTCCCAATTACCATCAACTGTCTAGGCCTTCCAATATTACATGCATGGTGTAAAGAGGTGCAATTCATTCATTTATTCTGAATAGCACCCAAACACACCTCATATGTTGCAGTACAACATGTGCCAACAAACTGATATGGATTGTGATGCACCATCAGAAATGATGCATGAACCATTTTAGTGCATCAACTGCCCATTTCATTTTGAATAGGCTGCCTTAATGTGAAGCACTTTGAAGAGCAGTTTAACTTGCCTGTGTTAGCACAACACAATGGTTTAAATAGACCCTTCGACAAGGAAGTTTGGTGTGACCTATTAAAGGAAACCTGTTTTGAGAGAAACATGGAGGATGTAATTGCTCACTATTTGAAGATAGTAATTACCTGTTTGTCTCTGACTTTAATTTGTCACTTACCCAGAACAAGTCTGCAGATCATGGAAATCTAAGTCAAACTCTTAAACGGGGCAGCACAGTGGCTAAATGGTTAGCACTTCTACCTGGTAGTACTAGGGTCATTGGTTCAAACCCCAACCACGGCACCACCTACCTGGAGTTTGCATGTTCTCCCTGTGCCTGCATGGGTTTCCTCCGGGTACTTCGGTTTCCTCTCACACTCCAAAGACATGCTGGTAGGTTAATTGGCTCCTGTCTAAATTGGCCCTAGTATGTGTATGTATGAATGTGAATTAGGGACCTTAGATTGTACGCCCCTTGAGGGGGTAGGGACTGATGTGAATGTACAATATATATGTAAAAGCGCTGCGCAAATTGATGGCGTTATATAAGTACCTGCGATAAAAATAAATAAATAAACTGCATACTTGTTCTAAGTCAGTGACTCAGAAGGTACTGAAGCCATCAGATCAGCATTTTCAGAGGGAAGGGTCAGGTAATGTCAACCCTCATATTACTTTATTGCAGGTTTCTTTCAGTATGCTTTGATAACATATTAGCTGGTATAGTGTAAAGAGAAATGCATGAATACATTTCTTTAATTTTTCTCTTTGATTTTAGGTATATTCCAAGTCCTGAATATTCATTAATGGAGAATAGTAACCCAATATGGACCCAATCTTACTATCATGAGTCACCGACTTATAACCCAGAGCCCTATCCCAGTGGAGCAATGTAAGCTGATGAGAACACCTTGACATAGCTGCTATTCTTTATTAATATATCTTCTTAAAGAAGTATCCAAGAGTAGGTGGTGGCTCTTACAGAAGAACTCTCACCAGACGTTAGAAAGACTTATTAAATCCCCCAGGGAAGGTTGTGCACATACTGCAGCATCTGTCCCTGTCAAAATCAACACTGTGGTTTAGAAGAAAATGGCATGTTTATTAATGTCAGTGCTGACTGTAGCTCCACCCCAGGCAGAAGCACAAATTATGAGCATTTTTATGGGAGGTACAAGCAGAACTGAAGCGACAGCCCACTTGCAATGCTGCAGCCTTCTTTATTATTCATCCCTGTGCCTCTTGTGCTCCATTTGTTCAAATAAAAGGCTGAACTGGCAAACTCCTATAGTCCCTTTTCCATTCTGCAGTCACTTTTAAAAGACTGAACTCACAAACTCCTCTTGTTCCACTTGTTTTAGGATATTCATTCCAATTAATGGAAGTAAAAATCTGGGATGAGAAAACCTCAGTCATGTGCCTTGCATTAGGATTATGTGGAACCCATACTGCAGCCTACATTTTATGAGTGAGTCACAAAATGCAGGTGCAATGTGAAGGAAAAAATGTAGTGGCCATAGAGAGCAGTATCATCTCTATGCTATATGTATATTGTAGACACCTAAGTGATATAATATGAAAAGTGAAATAATATTAAAAAAAAAGTCTGATGACTCATCAAAACTATGCATGATTTCACTAACCAAAATCACATGCATGGTTAAATTTGGATTTAAAGGGTTAATTATAGTATGTTTATGGCTATGTCTTGGTCTGAATTAAAGGTGAAGAAAGTCACAGAACAAGATCAGGGGCGGACTGACCATTAGGAAACACGGGAACCGCCCGAGGGCCCGGGGTTAGTAGGGGGCCCTATGAAATGCCCCTGGTACCTTTTTCATAGGCTTTTTTGAGTTTGGGCAAGGACACAGGGGCCCCACGATCCCCTATTGCCCGGGGGCCCCATGAGTTGTCAGTCCGCCCCTGAACAAGATGGATACATAGGTTTATAATAATGAATAAGCAGAAAATACTGACTTTAAAGTCAAGATCTAAAATGAACAGATTATTTAACACCATTGGTTCTTATTTACCATATCTTGTTTCTTTTTTATTAGGAGCCAGCTTGAAGAGGTATTGGACATAATAAGCACTGATGCCAGCCTATCCAACTTTTCCACTCTTACTCAGCATCCAATGGATGTGGACCCTGACTGGAGGAACTAAGTTTGGCAAGCTGCAGTCTAAACACTTATGACCTAAATCACCTTTTGCCATGCGTATTATGGGCCAAAAGAGCAGCTCTGGACCAATCATTTATCAAGCAAATCACAGCTGTAAAACTCAGACCAGTTACTGGTTAATTTATACAGGATTTGTTGAGACTTAAAGTATCCATTGTAAATGACACCGTGGTTACTGTTCCAGGCAGAACTTGATTTATCATGTATGGCAGTGTATATAATGACACAGTATGATAAACTAAAACTAAACTTCCACTGTCAGGATCTTCAGCATTACATTCTGTGAAGTGATTCATCCAGCAAGTGGTTGGCTTTAGGAATGCGTGAGAATGAATTCTGAGCCCACGCAGCTCAGCCTCCTACCTGCTCTCTGAGGCTTTCTGGCATGCAGTGGGTTTGGTTTTACAGATTCTGGTGCTGTGTGTAGGCATCGCTGCCGTGGCAGTCAGATGTGACCTTTTCTAGGCCATGTGTGGGAGGGCCATCAAACCACCGAATTCTTCAGACCCTGGAAGCATGTTTGTCACAGCCTCTGATATTACAATATCACAAAATAAAATAAACTACTCCGTGAATGTATTTTTGGAGTGACAATCATACAGCAATATACTTGTGAATCAGTTGGCTAATTACAAAGCTGGACTGAGTGGGACATATCACAAGTAATTATCAGTACTTCACCAATAACAGTAAAGTAGCATGTGTTGATAAAGAATATGTATATATCATTTATAAAATTTTTTGTCTGAAGTATGCAAAGTTTCCTACTTTCAATTTAATGGGTTAATCCACATAAAAAAATAGTTTTGTTTGGAGTGGCTGAATCTTACATTAGGTTCCTAAATCTTAAGGGACTCTATAGGTTAGACCCAGCTTTTCCCTCCTGTTGCAGTCATTTTGAGTAACGCCGAATCCTCTTTTTGATTTCACATCATAAAATGTATTTACAATTTTTACAGTATGTACTGGCAATTGAGTGAACAGGGGTTAAGGCCCATCTACAGCATTACTTTTATTTTTAACAAAAAACGTACTGCCTACAGTTATTAAAATACCTGTTCCCCAGTGGCTTACCGCTGTGCTTTTTTAGTGCTGAACCACTTCTGGACCACTACTGCTTAGTTTTTTAGAGGAGGAATAAAAAAGAGGAATACGTACCTTATTCCTTGCTTCCTCCACAGTTCTTTCCCCAATTCTTCTTCAGCCCCCAAATGTGGGCGGGCCCTCAATGTCCTTGCACATAATGTTGGTCCTGCATTGTTCATGATGATGTTGCTGACAAAGTGGCTGCATGACTGGCAGAGAGGAATGGATTTGGAGAACTAGTGATCCATCCTGGAACTAGTAGGAAGAAGTCTGTAGGAAACTACAGAATTGGTGGGCTATTGAAAACTGTGAGTGATGTCACCACTCCAGGCTTTACTAGCCATTGTTGGAACACTGTCTCCTTTCCCCTGTGTGTCAGTCGCACTGGCTGCCACACAGGAGATCATGTGACTGGACCGGAGCAGCCTGAAAATATACAAGTATACAGATCTTTCTTACACATTTTACCCTGGAAGATCCCTTGAAGTAATTTTCAGGTCTCAAAGATTTCCAGCATAAACATGTTTGCCTCTACAGGGCAGGGCGCATTAGAATATTTAGTGAGTTGAAGATATACAGTAAAAATCCCATAATTATTTATCCTTTACAATAGAGAATATTTTTTTGTTGTGTATTTTTTTCATTGGCAGCTTTGTGGGCCTACTCCTTTTATTCACTTCACCCACCCCAAAGCATTGCGAGACCATACCATCTGGATTTAGATTGTGTCCTTGATAGAATCAAACTCAGGGACTTAATATGAAGAACGACACAAAAGAGAGAGACCCCTTCAACAGAGTAAAACTTTACAGCAGTGGAGGAAGAGCCTGCCACTACTTCCAGAAGATCTCAACCCTGGTGTCTCTGAGAGGTATAAAGAAGATATTGGTGGTGCAGCTCATTCAGTTGGAATAGGCCTATAGGGGAAATTTAGACATCTGAAATATGTTTTCTGTGTTTACCAGTATATCTAAAAGATGTGGATAATATATATGTAAAAGCGCTGTGTAAATTGATGGTGCTATATAAGTACCTGAAAATAAATAAATACATAAAATGCATTTTGTTAATTGGGGGTTGTGGGGCTAGATTCATATCAGAATAGGACTGGAAGCTGCCATTGCTCACTTATTATGATCCACAGACCTGATACATGCATATTGGCTGTCTCAGCATCTGATAAACACATACCTGTACGTGTTCCAAGCCAGTGAGATTCCTAGAACATCATCTTCAAAAATTTACCAGCAATCACAGCTTACTTATTTTTTTATCCCGATGGGCTCTTTTACTATAGGAAGCATGATTTAAAACCTTATGCCAACCCAAAACTAGTATTTTAGTTTCTGAAGCATGTTAGCAAGATCAGTCAGCCACCAGGTTTTTCTTTTTCTGTTCTGTACCTGGTAGGACCCCCTTGCCACAACTATTATTTTAAGGCATCCCTCTCTTGGTATTGAATTTTTATTTGTCTCATAGATCGTTCAGACTGGTAGCCCCCTGCTAGACATTTTAATATCAGTATATTTGGGGTCCCTGCTGGATGAAAATAATAAAGTGATGTATGTAAAAAATTGTGAATCTTTTCACAGACTTATCACACAACTACATATATATAATCAGAATTCCTGCTGGTTTATAGAGCTAGGTAAGTAAAAGTGCAACCATAACAAAATAATATGAGAGCTACCAATGCTTAGTGGTTTTTGAAAGAGCTGGCTCCAGAGCCGTCATCCTGATCCTGGCTTAAAGCAGAACTAAGCTCTCCCATCCTTTACAGCCAAAGACAGCACCATCTTAGCCTTCATTTAGATCTGCAGCTGCCATGGTTTGGGACATGTGATGAGCCATGACACCAGTAATCTGAGAGCCTGAAAGTTTTGGAGTTATCGTGTATAAATGAAACATTTTAGAGTTTAACCTATTTCTTGTATTATTTATACATTTACAGTATAATACAGGTAACAACATACACAAAACAAAACTCACCATCAAGACCATGATACTAGAAAAGCAAATACTGATGTATAAGACAGCAATGCAATGCCCAGCATCAGGATAGTGAATTTTCACAAATATACATTAAGAGTATGCACAAGTATTCATAAAGATAGTAGCAGTAAGGTACAAGAAATAAAGCAGCTCACTGGCATGTGGACAATTAGGAACAAGGATGGAAGTGGAATAGACTGATGACGTTTTGGGGAGAACTTTTTTTTGCAAGTCAGATTCGACTGATTTGACTCATTGCTGCACTATGCCTGTAATAAATCTGTGTTTGTTTCAGGTTTAGTAATTTGTGGGTAGTAAAGCTAGGATGGAAATTACAATTCTGGAATGTGTAGCCTTAAGATTGCACTTTCCATTCCTCAAGAATATAATAAAAGTGATACCTTCAAAAACCACACCAACAAATCAAGATTAAAACATAAATAGCTTTTGTTTGTATGATTGGTTTCTGTATATATTTTCATCTAGTGGGCACAATGCTGAAGGTGTCTGGTATAACAAATGGATGGTACAAAGATTTGATAAAAATGTTTAACCTTGATTTGTTAGTTGTTAAATAGAATAAAACATATTTTAACATAGAAGTTGTATGTGTTCATCCCTGAGGTTATAAACACTTGAAAAGTCCAATTTCTTTATATTTTTTGTATCTTTGTAGCTGGATTTTCAGCAAGGCACAGGTGTGTAAAGGGATAGCGTGGGTGGAAATAATTTAGGATTTTTGACTGAAGTTCTGCTTTATCCAACATCTTCTTGAAAAACAAACCTTTATCAGATTGGCCCAGGACTATATTTTTAAGTTAGTAGTGATCCAAATAAATTGGGCAAACAAAAATAAGGGGTTTTCTCAGTGCAACCAGTCTCTGTCTGGCTTTGTAAAAAAACAGAAACACTGTTTTGTAAATATACTTTTTTAATGCTTGTTTTCTTAAAGCAGCATTATAGGTGCAGTAATGCCATGCACCTGTTTTATTATTGGCCCTCATAGTGGACTTTTTGACCTTGACACTTTCAAATTTCCAGACATTAGAAATTCAATTTTATTTACTGCCCTGATTAGTCTAGCCATTTGTGATAATTCAGTTATGGGTGGACCTTGGCTCATCCATTGTCTTTTGTGGACTCCAGTGGAAAGATCTAGAGTTCCCTACCCTCTCTGACTTGAAGTCCCAAATTTACTGCGGCAGAAGCCAAGTACCCTTCTCCCATCCATTCTCCGTAATATAAAATTAATGACTTTTCAAGTAGAGAAGGTGGGACACCTTCTGTAGCAGAAGGGAAAAGTAGGCAAATCAAGAAAACAGATTTCATCAAGTCACGAGAAGTAACAGAAAAGTGATTCAACCCACCCCCTATCCTATAAATAAAAACTACATACAACATTGTCAGATATACTGTTTACAGCAAAAAGCCATTTATATGGGGCAAAGTCATCAGAAATAAACAAGCGGACAACAAATAAGATGTAAAATAAAGTTTATTGTTTCAAATAACAAAATAAATATTCTAATGTAAAATAAAAGACTACCGCTAGAATTTCTATGCAGAACACAAATAAAATACAGGCCATCGGTTAACATTGAGATCACACTGTGTCACATAGTAATCATACAAATAGTTGGTTATTGTCATCCAGGACTTACATATAACAGAGAAAGCAGTGATTAATGGAATACTATGTAAAATCACTTGTAGTCGAAAAAAAAAGTCTGATCATATTTATTTTATGGTGTGCACTCTATATCGGTTTTTGGGATATACAGAGAGCTTTTCTAAATGTTATGTTCCTTACTACTAGAATTCTGAGCTTGGTAAGGGATTATATTACAATGATTCACAAACAAATTATAAGGAATTAATTAAAAAGTGAATATGTTTGGGTTATAA